ATAAAGTAAATAAATAAAGGGAGAGGAAGACGGAGGCGTAAATTTCTACCAAACAAGGAGAAAACTGAAACCTGCACTAATGATGAATCATTGATAAGTGGACAGAAGAGAACTTACTTTGGTTTCAGTTTTTTTTTCCCCATCTTTGCCTCTTCCTGTTGAAGATTCCAACTCTAACTTTGGAATCTGCTTCCTCCACCTTTTACTTCTATCTTTGTTCCAACCTGTGTCCCTTTCTCATGCTTAGTCTCGGCTTTTTTTTATTTTTCTCTGACATCTTGGCAAATGTCAGTTTTAGCACTCACTCTGTTCTTCATCTGACTCTCACTTTCTCCACTTCACATTTACTGACTCATACCCAGTCTTTTTCTTCCTGTCTTGACGTTTCTGCTTCATGGCTGCATCACAAGTAAAGTTTTTAACGACACTTCCTTTCTTATAGGTTTTTGCAGGTCCTCTTGTTTGGTTATTTTTGACAGACATTTAGATTCATTTTAGGATAGTTTCTGTGTCTGTTTTGAACCTTTTAGACATAAAACAGATCAATTTAAACCGCTCTATAAGGATTTCTTTTTGCTCATTTTTCTTCCTCTGTGGCTCTTTTTCAAGCATCATTGTGAGCATGATCTTAGATTATACAATTATGCTCAAATTAAGTTTATTTTATAAAAGCCCAGTTTTATTTAAACTGAATAAATAGAAATTCAGTTAAGGACATTCAACAAATATAAATACTTCAAAASCTTGCTGCTTCTGAAAGCTGCAAAAGAGGGAAAACCTTTTAAAGGAAGTTCAAACTTAATGTGGATTTAGAGTCTAATGATGTGGCAGACCACATATATACTCTCTCCTAATGTAATTAGCTTATTTATTTATTTATTTATTTGTTTGTTTGTTTATTTATTTATGATGAGTGGCAGTCATCCTAGTTTCTTTCATTTGATAACAATAGGCCATAAAAGGCAAAAAGTTATTTGAAATCAATTAACATTATTTTTACATTGTTCGATAACACTGCAACATTTTGTTGCATTGAATCATAAACTAAATTTTTTTTTAGTTGTTTTAAAAGCTATTAAATATTAAATTAAGTTTAAAAATGAGTTTACCCTGCTCATTGGAAGGCTGGATGGAAGTAATCCGGCTCGCGGGCTACCAGCTCAATAGTCCTGGTCTGCTCCAAGGAGTTTTCACATTCGCACAACATTTTGCTGTTTTATACAATTTTTAGTACTACTCTACCTAAAGTGTAMTGTCGCCATCGAGTTATTTTGCCACACAAAAAAATGGTGATGCGCATTTGCTAACTGGAAGTACGCGATTTATGAGGGCCAAATTATTGGTGCCCATTGGTGTTTATTTGTGAAGCTCTCCACCTACACAGAGAAGATYATGAGAATTAAATCAACGCAGAGCCCACAGAGACACATTTGCATGCAGCTCTCCTATAAGCTGACAGGATTTCTCTCCTGGGCAAAAAATCTGCATGAAAGACACCTAGAACTTRAAAACGGCTGCAGGGATTGGTGTTTTATGGAAGGATATTTAAAAATGATATTTGATATAAAACGAGCATTCAAGTTAGAACGTGTTRTATTTAAAACTGATCAATATCAGGGGATCGGTGAGAACACTCCAATCACAGATTTCTGCTGTTTTTTCCCATGAAACAGTCGTGTTAAAAAAAATTTAAAACAGACGTGTTGTGTGAAAATATTTGAAAGCAAAAAATAAGAGTAGTTCAGTGACTGAGAAGTACTTGTTGCCCAAAAAGGTGCAGTTGGGTTGTGACTGTAGCACACTCAGTTTGGAGAAGCAGACATGTTGGTCTCAAAACAAAAACAGGAAATGATCAAATGCTTGCCATCTACTAAAAACTATGGTGGTGTAAACATACCATGTATTCTGATTTTTAGTTTTATYTTTACTTTGGAGCTGATAGACACTCAGCACCGAGTTCATTTTAAATGACTAAATCATATTATACACAAATTAATTACCTCCTGATTAAAAAAAATGAAAAATGGGCTTTAACTAATTGGTGTGTTGGTAGCTGAGCCTTATCCACAATCCATATTCTGAGTATTAACATCCATCACGTGTTTTCTATCAAACTTGACATTTATTTGTTTAAAATAAACTTTTTCCGTGTGTTACTAAAATATAATTGTGATTATATTTTCAGGAAACTTCTGTTAGACATGCATCTACAACTGATTAATTTTTGAAGCAACCCAATGATGAGCTCCACTGGTGAGTCGTGACATATTTACATCCATTATCTGCTGCTCTCTCAAATGATCGGACAATTGTCGTGGATATTCGGTGTTAAAGTTTGGTTTACAAAACAAAACAAAAAAAAACACCTTGATTTAAATCATACTCAAAATTTTACGAATCCATAAATTCTTAATAATCTGAAAATGTTCCACTTTTTCTGCAGCTGATCACCAACTTTTGAGGTTTAGGGTCCCCTTTGACATAATTAAATTTCTTTAGCTTGTAGTGACTTTATTTTCGTGAGATAAAACTAATATTGCTTATGGAATATCAATGAAGAAGAAATAAAATTGTGCATTTATTGTTCATTTCTTTCCCAGTTGCAGTGTTTTATCCAGAGTCAGTCAGCGATTCCACCAGGCTCACTGGTTGTGCTTTTTTCGCTGCACATCTGTTGCACCAATCATGCAGCCTGAYGTGCTTTCTTCACACGTTTCGATCACAAGTTCATCATCATAATTGTCAGCGCTGACTGTGCTCGTGTGGGTGTGTGTCTGCGTGCCTGCTCCTATGATTTCAAAAACCATGCTGCCATGACAAAGTGCTGTTTGTTTTAGATTAGCGCCAGTGGTGTTTTGCCATCTGTGGTTGTCGGAGGAAATTTGGCCATCAAGTCTGATAGAGAGAGCGCAGATTTTTCACCGCACAGCAGTTTTTGTGGGCACAGCTGTTACAGTAACAAAAAAAAAAACAAGCTATCAAAACCTCTGTCTCAATCTGATGCTGACGCCACAAGCTCTTAGTTGCTCCCATCACCCCAATGTCAATATGCTGCTGGGCACACACACCCAGCTTTATGTGGAGAACAAAGCTGGAACTGCATCAGGAGAGGAAGGTCAGTGGTGCAAAGAAAAGAAGATGAAGACACCAGGCGAGAAATCGTAATCAGATCTAACATCCTTTTTCTCTACACGAGTGAAAGTGCACACACGCTTGGACTCGCAACAAAACACAGATATTTAAAATYAAACACGTCGCTAAAAGGTGGGGGGAACTCATCTCCTTTAGCACAACCACATGTAATTCCCCTGAAATTAAAAAAAGACAAAACTGTACAACTCCATAAATTCAAACACGCTCAAAAGACACACGCTCACGTCTGTCCTCCGTTCCTCTAATCTAGAGGTCAAAGCCGTGCACTCCAACAGCTAAATGCACACACATCCAGCAACACTTTTATTAATTCTGTCTCCAAATTTACATTCACTTTTTTGGTTCGCTGATTTGAATTTCAAATGCAGACCTTGGCTGCTCTAAATGTTAGCAGCACAAGCGGTGCCAAAAAGTAATTTATTCCTGAAACAACCGTATCTTTAAATGACATAAAATTGCTTCCTCGGGACATTAAACCCTTGAGTCGCTCACCGTGTATGCATAATCTTTTATAAACCAAACTGAACGAAAGCAAAGTCAGCTGAAATGAGAGTTCAGAAAACAGTCTCAGCAGTCAGCTTGTGCATTGAAGGATTTTCACAGCAAGATCTGTTTGTCGTTAATTAACTCTTATGGGCTTTTAACTTTTTTTTCCTTTTATATTAAATTTTCAGAATAAAATTTCTGTCTACTCATTTCTCTTTGGCTGAAAACTGTCTAAAAAATTTTAAAAAATAAACAGTTTTACAGTATGAGCTTACGAAGATGTTATTGTTAGTGCACAAAAAGAGGAGAGAAAACATCAGTTAATCCAAGTCAAATCCATTCAAGGAGTCAAGTTTGTTAAATATCACAGGAGAAGATAGAGAAATCAATTATGCTTGATTTGTTGACTTCATGAGTTCAGTTTAGTTTACATGCATGTTATTCACCAACATCAAACAGAAGCAACTTCCACCTGACCAGGGAGGATTCATGGATGCGTTAGAATCTCCAAACKGAATTAAATCAAGTAAAGTCAATTATTCTCATTTTAGACACAGACTTCATAAAGTTAGCGCCTCACTGGGATGCTACAACTAGTTGGTGAATGGCACATGAGGGAGTCTCTAGGATGCGTTTCAACTATGGGGTTCCTAATATTTCCTCGCAGGAGTTGCAGAGGAGCGCAGACCTGTCGATTGAGTTTTCAACGTATTTCAAAACGTGTCCTCCAGCAGATTAAATCAGACATGTGGGGCGGGGTCAGCTGCTGAGGTGAGTATAAAGCAAACTGATGCGAGTGTGATGTGAGCTGCAGAATGTTGTGGAAGGCCAAAAATGCAGTGTTGCAAGTTGAGCTCGGGCACAGTAAAATAGGCCTCATGGCTCACCGGTCACTTGGTCACAGTTACTCAGAATTCAATGAAACTGCAACGGAAAATTAGCATATTTCCTTTCTGATGTCCCACAATTTTGAGCCACAAAGCAGTTTTCTAACAGTCGCAGCCCAGTGAAATACTACCTTAAGATTTGATATTAAATGTAGTCCTTAACAATGTGAAGTGTGTGATAAGATCCTAAGTCTAGTAAACTGTGGTTTAAAAATGTAGCAATCAATCACTTTGATAGGTGTCATGAGGGTTCTGATTGGGTGTGCTTTTGTGGCTTTTAAAGATGTAAAAATATTTTATTATGAATGATTAAAAAGTTTGACAAACTACATTTGGTTTCTGATTCTGATGTTTTGGGATACTTTTTTTCATGCATCCACAAATCCATCCATGGTTAGAGAAAAATACTTTTCATTAGTGTTCATCCCTCACGGAGTTGACCATTCTGTGGGAAATAAAAGTCTGGGGTCCTACCTTTGATGCCAAACTTGGAGTTTCCTCCAAACCTGAGAATAACCAACATGAGGAGGAAACCAGTGAAGGCGACAGCGGCGATGCCCACCACCACGTACACCTGCAGAGCACAAGAAAGGCCACGTCATGACTCTGAGGGAGCCTCGCTGATAGAAACATTACTAGCAAGACGGCCCAGGCCCAAAAGGCTGCGCATACCATTGATCAAGGAGAGCATAATTTATAGAGTCACTAAAGTTCTTCCAATTACATTTGATATTAAAAACTAAAAAAAATAGGGTTCTAGAAGAAAAGAACCACTAAAAAGCCAGCAGCAGAAATTAACTCAGTCAGAAACACAACAGTGAGAGGAGACTTACTGCGACTCTGTCCTCAGGTTCTGCAGGGGGGGTCTCTGCCAAGGACAAAGGAATCAGAGAACAAAAAGAAAGAGTAAAATCTGAGAACAGTTTTATTCCACATGATGCAAAACAAAAGCTATTATATAGCTAAATTCACATGGAGAAACACTCCTGATATAATGTAATATTAAAGGAGACATGTACTGAAAAATCCACTTTTTTAACCATTAGGTGGCATTAGGTGCATTTTTTGTGTACTGGGAGTCTCTAGGAATGCGGAAAAGTTGAATTTAGTCTCTCCTGGTGCTGCAAAGATCTTTATATCCTGTTTGGGTCTTTATTCCTATGGCATTTTCTGAACTATCACGTCACAGAATTTGTGATGGTACTGCCGTATCAGGTCTGGACTCTACAACTAAATTTTCATCATCTTCATTCTCATCTGGCTCTGGGTCAGACTCTGGCTCCAACATGTGAGAATGGACAGACAAGTCTTCTGTTGTTGACATTTTTTCATTTGGAAATAAAAAATTTCCGTGCAGCTAGATAACCGCAACCCCCTCTATCAAACTAGAATGAACCGGTCTGGAAGCCGGAAAGTGGGGGCGGGGTGTGAAGCACCTTGTTTGGATTTAAAGAGGCAGCAGCAAAACGAGCTGCTTTAAGATACTCCTCAGAAAAGGGGCAAAAGAGGAGCTGGTAAAGTTGAAATAAGGAGCATTGCAGCTCCACTTTAWATAGACCCCAACTGAATGGTTTAAAGGAAACAAAGAAGGATTTAAAGCATATGTCTACTTAAAGTAAGGCTGTGATGTTGAAATTTTCATGAAGTACAAAATAAAGGTATTATTGTAAAAATCAAGTCAAAATAACAGTAAACATTTGCTTTGAATAAAAGTTTATAAATTATTGTTTTTATTCACACTGGATGGTGTYGTCTGTGCACAATAAATGTTTTGTTTTAGTTTTTAAATGAGCGCTTAAATTATATTACAGGCCTCACAAACTTTTATACAAAAAAATAATAATTTTCCATGCATGACATTAAAACTGAATTTGGTATGAGGAAGTTTAGTTGCTGGTTCAAAGGGTATATGCCAAGATTCACATGCCTGTTGACTTTTTCTTTATGCCGGGAGATAAGTCAGTGTGTTCAATCTCTATGGTTTGATTTAAGAAGAAAACTTTTGTTTTGCCACCCATCATTTCTAGTCAGATCAAATGTTGATTGAATTTTATGGCGTGCTCGTTTTTCTCTGCGATTTTATTTTACAGTTGACAGTTATAATTTTTGCTCTAACACATGTGATTTTAAATGTAACCATTCTCAGTTGCTCTAAACTAGATGAATGGTGTGTTTAAAAACTAAAATATGTAGCAATAGCGAACTCAGTGTGTGGCAATCTATAGGGCTGCACGATACATCGTTTGCGCATCGTCATTGCAATGTACCTGTGTGCAATAGTCAAGTCAAGTCAACTTTATTTATTTATTTAAAAACAATAGTCTCGTCGCAGATCCTGTAATGTAGGAGGCTAATTAAATCACCCCCTGCAAGTCACTAATTGGCTTTTATTTTGATGCCTGCAGCTGTTTTGGCAGCGTTTTCATGAGAACTGTTGTCAGTGAATTCTCGAGCTGTGGAGGTAGACAATGAGGRTCTTGACGAAAACGAGGATGAAAAGAGATAAAATACGGTTTAGCATGAATGCTAATRTTAAAACGTGATGAAAACAGACGACACAGAGGCAACACGTTAAGTTTGTTTATGGGTAAAACGCAATTTGAGTTTGTGCATTATCTAAAGAAACATCCATGAAGGTCCCAGCACAATGAAAKCAAGCAATAAAACCTAGCAAAAATAACTCAAATACAGACAAAAACAYACTGTAACATGCACAAAACATATATAAGATCAGTGCAGGTACATCTGCAACAGGGTGGCAACATAAAGTGTTATTTAAGACTGATTGTTGGAAATTTGTGTATTTTWTTATATTGCGATGTACATCCCAGGGTTAGAAAAAAATCGCAACTTTTTTTTCTAATATTGTCCCAGGCAATTTGTTCTTAAAGCTATGTAATTTAGAGAAAAAAAATATGTATATAACTGTACCTGAGGTTGGTTCTCCTACAGAGGCGTGTTGGAGAAACAGGCACATCAGATTGGAAACAAGAATCAATTTTAGTGACATTTCTTGACATGCAGTACTTCATAACTAACCCTATCTGCCATGCCTGATATTGCATGCACGTCCRTGTTTCTAAGACCGTTCATTGGCATCCATTCATTTCCAATCGTTTCTACAGCCTAACCCTGACCCCTTACCCCATATCTAAGACCCCCAGTAGATACCTAACCCTAAAACTAACTTAACTCAATTCACACCTTAGTCCCAAACCAAACTCCTAACCCAAAAAGGGAATTCCACCATAGTAGGACTGGTCTTTGATCCAATAAGGACTACTGGTAAAGGGTAGGTGGGTGTATACCAGAAAGGGCCCTAAAAAGATAACAAATACAAGTACAGAACATTGCACAAAATGGCACACAAACAACACATATTTAAAAGAAAATAACATCTGGAAAAAAGCTACAATGTTGTGCAACACACCCTCAGGAACTTGAGAAATAAAAGTATTTGATTTTTCTGCTGCTGTGACTAAACTGGCAACTGCAAGGTGTGTTATTTTCAACATTTGTTTTACATTTGACAAAAAAGAAAAAAAACTGAAAATTCTTCACTTACCATAGTAGTAAGGTTCTGTACTGTCCGGACCTTCTGAGTGGAACAACAAAACAAACACAATATTAATTTGTAATTTTCCATCATGCTGTAACAATTGCACGTTTCTAAATTATTGATTTTCTGTTTGTCGCTTTCTTTTCAAATGAAAGTCAAGGTTTTTTTTTTCTCTCTCCATAACAATAACTCAAAGTGAGTTGCTCCTCACCATCCCAGGGCTGCTTCATGAAGTGAGCTTCAACCTGCTTCTGGTCGAAGCCGTATTCGTTCTGAACCTCCAGCCTGTATATCCCATTATAGATGTGGGTGGGATTGTCCAGTTGCAAGCAGCCATGATACTCTCTCTCTGTGATATCATGGATCATTGTCATGATGTAGTTGCCCTCCTCCACCTTTTTATCGTCCCGATACCACTGAAAATTTGGTTGGGGGTTTGCTGAAAATCATATGRACAAACAACCTTCAGTGGCATTAAGTTAGTTCACAATATCTCAGTAGCAGAAGTGAGTTATGGCTGTAATTTCATCTCATTAGTATTCCATGACAAAATGCATGTTGCCCATCACATTTATGCCATGCAAACTGTAGAACTTATACGTTCAGTATGTAGTGGTCCACTTGGCTTTTGGGTATTTTGCTAACGCTAAAGGCAACAGAACACACACAAACAACATCCTCACTTTTGTCTTAAAGAAAAGAGTGTTTGAKCTTTTCATACCTGCCACACTGAAGGGGATACACCAGTGATGGTCTGAGATTGCACCACTCAGTTTTGTGATTTTAGGTGGAACTGAAAATCCAGAGCAAAGAGGGAAATCTTAGAGAAACCGTGTAAAGTGGAACTAGAACAGCAAGAAAAAAGAAGGCAGAAGCTGGAGTCTTGTCAAGTTTCACTACTTAGATGGACACATTAACCTTCTTTGAATTAGAGCAGACGGTGAGCGTACACAGTATATCCAGCAGCAGAGACGACTCCCTCCCTCCAACGATGTTTTCAGCTGAGCAGATGATTTTACTGTTGTGATCCAGTGACGACAGGTTGGACAGCCGCATCACCGAAATCTGGCCTGAAGTCACGATCTRAGAGAAAAAACACAATTTAAATAAAAAACAATTCTATTATCATAACCTCTTCAGAATGAATAATTTGGTGGTGGTTTCAGATGAGGTTCCATGATAACTGGAGTGGATGTTTTGTCAGCTGAAGACGTGCATAAATTTAAATCAGAGTTTTATTCAATTTAACTAAATCACCATCAGGTTAACATAACACATTTGTTCCAACACAAACACGATGATAGTTCTGCTAGAAAATGTCCCAGACGTCACCTGAAGTGCTAAAGCTAGCTGCTGCAGCTAAACTGAGCACAGAAAGGAAGGGCACTAGTGTTTTATTATTTCTGTGTTGTAACAATGCTTCTTGGCAATTACAGCTTATACCGTAGGAAAACCTGTTAATTTCCCTTTTAACTGGTGCCACATTTGTAAGGAACATGCTATTTGTAGGAAGCTGAGTATGTGGGTTGCACAAATGAAAAATATGCCAAATATTTTTTTAACATTGCCAAACAGCTTATTCTGCTGTTGCTATTGGCTCTTGTTTYGAGCTTCTGGTATCCTCAGGTGCTGCCAATAAAATTTATTGACAAGAAGAATTGTTAAAACAAAGAAATAATCTACCAGCATACATGTCCTTACCTTAGTGCTATGTATATTTGCACAAAATATCATGTTAATATCTGTTGAAAATTGCTGGGTTGCAGTCACATGACCCGGATGACGTGTGAATGTCAGATGGGGGGCAGGAAGTGATTTGCTCTGGTTCAAAACACAACAAAATGGATCACAGCGAGTACGTTAATGCCCTTAATGGGCTGGCGCAGACCAGATATTGCAAGAAAAACATGCAAACATTTAGTATATGATTCATATTATCTTAATTAAAAATTACTTTTATATAATCTGGAGGATTTACCTGGTGCCGAGGCGATCAACATTAACTACTATTTGGTGCTGCAGACCTCATGCTACAGGCTACGACGAGCCAGATGAAAGCTTTCAAAAACCTCAAAGCCTACAACTATTTTGTTTCAGGTTGGGTCAACCATTTAGGATCCAAAGAAACTTTAAATGTCTGTTGACTTGTTTTTGCCTGTGTGAGTTGTGCCATTTTAAGAAGTTAGCCTATGATAACAATGCTATTGCTAACGCTAACAAMAACAAGTTAACTCCTGTTATTTCTACGTGCTTGGATCTACTTGCAAATAATTTATTTAACTTCTGTAAACCCTAATTCAAATAACTATCCAGGGAAATATCTGACAATATGATTTAAACGATACGATSCTGTTAGAAAGTTGTTGCTGTAAACTCTTGCATTGTTCGTTTCCGCACCTCCTGTTTTTAGTCGTAGATTGTTGATCCACTTTTGTCCTATTTTTTTCTGCAAGTTTTTAAAATTTAACTCCCTTGTGACACACTACTTTCAGAACATGAAAAAAAACTTTGATATTTCTCCTGATTAGAGCGGCTGCAACAAATTGTACACGGCACAGAATTTAGGCATTTTGACACCGAATCAACAGAAAAAAAAAACATGGCTTCATTTACTTCCTGCCCCCCATCTGCATTTCGTGACATCGATACTACATCATCTGCAACCCAGAAATAATACAATGGTTTCAAATGTGGCTCTAAAAACCATCTGATATTGCCTGTAACCTTTGCTCCACTTTAAAATATCTGAGCTTGATAAATTCTAGTTCTGAGTGCAAAAAATGTTTGGCAGATATTTCTAGCTTTTATGTGCTGTCGCAAGTTTTACCAAACTCTTGCACAACTGCGCTGATGTCACTGTTTGGGGTGTGGGCTAACCTCATAGTTAGAGACCAGTGCCATGTTCCAGATCAGCTCGGGCGAGGGCACGCCAGAGGTGGTACAGGACAGCTCCACGTTATCCCCTTCCTTCACGGTCACTTTGGATGGGGTCAACGTTGCCATGGGAACCTCTACATACAAAGTGGGACGAGAAAAAAAAAGGGTAGCGGGGGGTATGGAGAGGGAGAGGAAGGAGGCGCAGAAAAGAGCAAACTTAGGATTCATGGCCAACTGTTGTCCCTCTAGTTAAGACACAAGGCACGTAACAAGTCCAACAAGAGCAGAGGAAGAGCAAGCGAACACACACACACACACACACACACACACACACACACACACACNCACACACACACACACACACCTCAGAGCGAAAGAGAAAGACACACAGGGTAAGACTTCAATTTTAATCTCCCTGTCCTCTGCTTTCTTTCAGCAGCTTTCATTAGGGCACCCCAATCAAACAGTGAGACAAAGAGACAGAGTTCAAACACAGTGATGGTTACACTGATTACTGGTGCATGTCTATCGTAGGCCAAGCACTAAATTGATTGGACACAGTCTGACGCCTCTGTCAAAGCAAAGACACTTTGTGTGTTTGTCTTAATGTGTGTCTACAGATTTGACCAGGAGGTGACCTGGGCATGACCAATCACACTCAATGAGGACCTTGCCACGTTTGTCTAATAACGCTGTTGATAAAAAAAAGAGAGCGAGAGAGAGCGAGAGAAAAAGACAGGAAGAGAGGAGAAAAATAGGCGTTGACAGCTACTGCCGATAAGAACGAAAAGATTTCTTATCGGTCCTCCCTCCCCCTCCACTCTCTAACCTCTTCTGTCCGTCAGCAGAAAGCTTATCTCCAGGGAAACTCACTTATCACGACGGCAACCCACTCAATCACCGTGAGACGCTGTAAAAACCGGTCATTTCGGTGGTGGCAGGCCAGCTACCATATCACATTCAAATATCTTAACAGCCTCTTGGTGAATCAGCGCTCTACTGCCACCGCAACCGTCTGCGGGTCACATTAGACACACCTGCTCCGACACTTCCCACCAAGACAAACTTGGGAATCCCAGTAAAATATCTGCAAAACCCATTTATACACTTTTTTGTTTTTTTTATGTAGTTTGTTCAGATTTAAACACTGGCTGCTGCGTTTATATCAATAAGTTTAAAGCCAGTGAACTGAGGCGAGTGACGATTGAAAGGAGACATATCACGTTTTTAAATCCTTCTTTTTCACATTTAAATCTTTTTGTTGAGGTCTAATTAAAGTGGAACTGTAATACTTTGGTCTGAAATCCTCAATATTGTGACTCCACAAGCAGTGTTGTTTTTGACTGCCATTTTAATTTGAGTCTTAGTCTCAGTCTTTTGAACAAAAATACTTCTTTGTTTTGGTCAGTTTTAGTCATTTCCATATTTAATGGTTTTAATCGAGTTTTAGTCGACGAAAACTTTAAAAATTGTTTAGTTTTAGTCTTAAAAAAGACAACATGTTAGTCTTTACAAATTAATGTGAGTAATTTGTGTTAACATTTGTGAAATTGTGTTACTCTAAAAATGCCAAAAAACAAAAACATTCTCACTTTGTGACTTTATTTCTCAGAATTTGCTGAAGTGCAATGAACATACAAAATACACACGCCCAATATTATAAGCAATAAAGGGGAACACACATGTTCAACTCAAACTTGTCAGCCAAGGCAATGAAGATGCATCTTATTTATAAAAACGGACATCATGCAGTCCTAAACTTAGTTAGTACTATTAAACTTGTGCAAACGAGTGTTTACATGCACCAGGCTTTTATTCAGAACAGAAGCACTGACATGCGCGTTGCTAACTCCTCCCGGCTGTCAGAGTAGACATTAAATTACCCCTTAAAAAGAAATAAACCAGACACAGACGCAAGTATTCAGTTTAAAACAGTTTTCTCTTTGCAAAGAGTGAGAAGTTTGTGAGGACGCTTAAAGACAGGTCTCAACAGAAAGTTCTGACCTTGGTTGGGAAAAACTGTACAATTTATTACAAGCAGAGCACAGAGAGAAACATCTTGACCAATCACAGGGTTGTTTCTTATCTGTTAGTGCAGCTCAAAGCTGCAAAGATGAAAACTATGGTAGCAAGAAAGACATTTAATACAGCTGATTAATAAAATAGGATCAAATATAAAAAATGGTAAAGTTTAAAAATATCTATCACCGGCCAAAAAAAAAACCGCAGAGAAGAGTTTTACTTTCGTCATGAACGTAAACAGCTTCTGAGCTCAGAATGGACATGCAACAGCTTTTAATAATGGTGGAGACGTTACTCCCTGGTTAAGCTACAGGTGACGGACGGACTTTTTTTTTAAATTTTTTATTTTTTTGCGAAGCGGCCCAGGCTGTTTTTCTTCCTTCTTTACTGAATGAGAGGAGGAAATGTTATGTGCTGCTGTGTGTGTAAAGGGCTCGACACACGGGAGGCGACGTCGCTCGCTCWCCATTCATTTCCTATGGAGCCTGTGCGGTGAGGCGACAATCGCTTGCCCTCCTCCAGCTAAGCGACCGGCGAAAATAGTGCATGTGAAATTTCGCACTCGTACACGTAGACGTGCACACGCGAGCATGCGACGCGACATATGAAAGTTGAAAAWTGTTCAACTTTTGTCGCTGTCGCTTAGCGTACAACCAATCAGCGAGGGTTTCATTGACTGACCAATGAGAGGAGAGTAYGCTACACACTGCAGTTAGCTAACACTTTCACCAAGTGATTACTAAAAAGCTTTGTGGGAATTTATTGGCACCAGGGTGAAGTTTATGGTAAGTTTTTTCTCATAAAACTGTATCTTGATGTGTGTTTGTTTTTCAATATCATTAGCATCGCAAGATTTGTTTAGTTTACACATCCGTAACGCACACCTGCCTTCAGAGTCAAGAACCAATCAAATTTCCTGAAGACAAGCGACCTGAGAGCGCGATTCGCAACGCTGCGATCGCTATCGCGTCCCGTGTGTCGGGTTTCACCCTGGCTGCGATGACAGCCGCTAATCGCTGTAGTTTGTCGCTGCCTGTGTGTCGAGCCCTTCACAGCGCTGCTGTCCCTCCCTCCACTCTGCATTCTAAATGATTGACAGGCCACCAACTAACATTTTCGTCACAGTCACGTCAACGAAAACTCACACGTGTTTCGTCATGTCTTAATCATCAAAGAGCTACGTTTATTTCGTTACAGTCTCGTTACTGTCATGAAAAAAGGGGGCGAGAACGAAAATATTTTGTCATCGTTAATGAAAACAACTGTCCACAAGCCCCTCTTTCATCCCCTTTTCTGTGGTGTGTCTCAGATCAACTCATTTTGACGCTGTTTCTCTAAACCCAAATGAGACACTTCACACTCTAACCCACTCTAACTTCCAGAGCGGTCTGTTCTAGTTTAATAGAGGGGTTTACGACTATGTAGCGACGCAGAACCTTTTTATTTACATACTAATTAAAATATGTCAACAAAAGCAGACACTTCCATCCAGCCTTACATGTTGAGGCCAGAGTCTGATCCAGAGCCAGAGGAGAATGAAGACAACAAAACTGTGGCTGGTAAGTCCAGACCTTTTTTGGCAGCTCCGTCGCAAATAAGTTGTTATAATAGTTCAGAAAATGTCATAGAAAATAGAGAGAACTGAACGGGTTGAAAAACATGAAGTATATAAAGGTATCTATGCAGCACTGGGAGAGATTAAATTTAATCTGCACTTCTAGACTCCACGTGCACAACAAAATGTATTTAATGACTAAAAACATGGATTTTGCATGATATGTCCACTTTCAAAAATTTACAACCCTTATTTTGAAAAAGTTGTGTCAAATTTGAATTTAGGACAGAATACAAGATTTGTAAATCTCAGTAGATCTGAATACAAATAAACTCAGAAATAAAAGGACGGACACACAGAAGGAAAACCATGATACCACACAAAGGAGCTGACATTATGCAAAAATGAGGTTATATACAGTTCCGCCAAAACCTTTTGGCAGTAACACAAATGTCTTGTGGCCTCAACATTTTCAGAGACTTTTTTTTCATGTTTCTATGGTGAACTGAAGAACAAATAAAAACAGTTCATCATAATCTGTTGGCTTCAACTTATCCAACCACGTATTTGACTTCAAAAGACAATTTCTGAATTTAAACTAAGAAAACCTACAGCAGGCATGATAACACCAGGGTTAGTTCATGAAGTTGCATTTGTAACGTTGACTTTTTCGCATGATAATCTTTAGGTTTCTTAAACATGATAACAACAGTTGTTTAGCATCATTCTTTTACCAACCTATAGCCAATGCCTCAGTGTTATTCTTCCACAAATTATGACATTCATGATATTTTTGTCTGTTTTACTTTACGTTGCAAGATGAAACCAGAAAAGCTGGATTTAAGGTTTGATGTTGTGTTTTTTTATCTCTTTGTCAAATTAATAAAATAATAAAGTGAATGGTTACAAACTTTTGTTTGGAAAAGGAAAAGAAGAAGAACTAAGTTATACAGAGTTTTAATTATTTAACTGGACTTGTTTTGATGATTTTAATACACAAAAAATAAATTGATATTTTCACAAGCTCTGAGCAGACAATGTTATGGGGTCCTACTGTGCTCTCTGGCGCCCCTCAAGTTGTGAACTACCGTTCTATAACACAAACCCAGCCGTTCTTATTTAGACAATCAAAGGTCATTCTTGAATAGTTATATTTTTATAAAACATTTTGCTTAAGCTCTAACAATGGTATTTGCTTTGTTTATTAGGGTCTTTGTCCTATTTTCATTTCCATTGCCACGGTGGGTGATCATGCCATTTTCTGTGTCTCTTTGTGTAATTATATGCAATTTTTATCAGATTGAAACCTTAGTATTTACCTAACTATAGTGCTTTTACCAGAAAGGTGATTTACTAAACTATTTTGGCCAGATAAGCCCTTGAAGCTCCTTAACAAAGTCTCTAAATTCCTCCTGTTAACCAAACGTCAACCCTAAGTGACAGAAGTACTGTATGGCCTTGTAAGGAAGTTCAGAGACCCAAATGATGGTAGGATACCACTAAAAGCCATGTTAAAGTTTTAATTGTTGTCATTAACAACCTCATAAAACATTAGAGTTACAAGGAAAGAATCCTCATCTGCCCTTGTCAGGATGCACTGTGCCTCCTCACTCCTGCATTGCTGTAATTTTCCTTTACAGTTTTTGTGTCTTCTTTAATTCCCTGTTGTTTAACCTACAGTTTAGTGGTCTCCGACTCGACTGAATGAGTGTTTGAGGTTTCTGTTAATAGAAAATTCCCACGTGTGAACAGCATCCTCCTGCCCACAAACACTAACATGAGCCATCTGGACTCGTGGGCTGATCTCTGCACTGCCATTTAAGGCTTGTGACTACAAGCTGCATCTTTGTTTGAAGATGGGAAAAAAAGGGTGTTGATTGAGGGTTCAAGCCATTCCAACAAAACAGAAGATATGACAGAGAAACAAACGCTGGGGGAGACAGGTAAAGACAGATTACACCTGGGYTGTAATGAGGCCCAGTAATCTCTTATCATTGTCTTGGAGTTGTTTTGGATTTTGTGCAGCTCTTCCCAWTTTTGTCTCAATATGATCAAAATTGCATTATGTTTCTTCAAAATAAAGTTGTATTGTCAATGGGTAAGATTTAATTCTTCAAAAYCTTTTCATGGAACTGACCTTCCAAACAAATGACCTGTTCTTTTAAGGAAGAAATGCAGAAGCAAGTTAGGTAGAAATAAAGAGCTTAAAGATTTATGTGCCTTTTTTTGTTGCCCCAGTCAGTGTTTAACTTTTAACACCTGCAGCTGCTGGAACTACAACTTCTTTCCTGTGACACAGAAGATTCATTTTTATAGTACACTGGCTGTGTCAACCCAGCGGAGCACTTCTTGGTGTAGYATTGTATTGGTCAGCAGCAGATTCAGCCTTTTTAGGGTGGAGCTTTGGCAGCGTGCAGTCTAACAGACAGAGATCAGTGTCAGCTCAGCCTCGGGGCTTTGCTGGACATTCCCTCTCCTTTGTGCCTCTCTCACAATGTCACTCAGAGACWTTCAGGCCCTCAGACACAGGGACACACATGAATCGGACAGACAGATGGAAAATGAGAAATACAGATGAGGCAGGACAGAATGTGATGTTTTTGGTGGATTACAGTCAGCCCTGGGGCGTTATTTGGCACCCGTTCCCCACCACGTCCTCCTGCTCATATGTCACTCTGCCGGGGGTCCCCGGCCCACCTCTCAGAGGACCTTGCTGTGACTGTGCTAAACCTAAAAATAACCTCTGGTAATGGATGGGAGGCAGAGGGGACTGATCAATAGAAGTTATCAATGACATTGTTAGCTTCCTGTAAGTGAACTTATTGTTTGTGTCCTGAGTGCTCTCATTGCCCCCAAGCTATTCTTTTGAGCTGTTTGGGCTGTCAACACTGGATTTGGTACAGTTTTTAAATGATTTTGTTTATCATTGTACAGATTAGATATCTGTTAAAACATATAATAGGTCTGAGTCCACATTCACACATTTTCCTGTTTTTTATTTTTATTTTTTTTATTTTACTGTACTCTTTTTGCAGTCCAACTACCTTTGCATAGTTTTGTATTATTCATACATCAACATGTTCAGCTTGTTTGACAGATGAGTAATTTTTGATTTCTGTAAAGGTTATATGTTTCAAAACATTTAACTTTATTTACAAGTATTTACTCTATAGAAATGTATAGAATCTTTTCAAATGCTTTTCAAAAAACATTAATTTATTCATTAAAACAAAGAAGAAAATGGGTTTCCATTATAAACAAAACACAAGTCATAAATGAAATGAAAGGAAACAAAAAGAAGAAAACAGTCTTATTGTATGAAAATTTTAGCTACTGTTAAGCTAGCTTTAGCTTTAAGCCAGCTTTTTAATACTATGGTTTATACTTTTAGCTGCTATTAGTTTTAGCTAATGTTTGGTCACTTATAATTGGAACTTGCTATTGTTCTAGTTTTTTGCTATTTTTGGCAAGATATTTAATAATTAACGCCATCCCTTTGCTTCTGTTAGCTAGGTTTTCAATTTTCAATTAGTTCTTGCTACGTTTAGCTATTTTCTGCAACTATTAACTAATATTTAGCTCATTTTAGCAGCATTATGTGCTACAGCWAGCTGCTRTTGTTGCCGTTTATGATTGCAAATAAAAGAAATTGGCAGTAAATTTTTTTTAAAGTAATCCAGTTAGATCCCGTAGTCATTAGCTCATCAGAATWGAACTCTTTTTCTCCAAAAGCTCATTCAGAGTTACCGGTACCTACAGCAGGTAAGTTGTGGTAAGGTATGTTAATTGTTCATCATTTCTCCACAAAAACTTGCTAAAACTAGCTAGCGCTTTGACTGCATGAGTGTACTGTAATCAAATTCCAGCTACAAAATATAATTTGACCGCACTGTGACTGCTGGATATGGGCACCAGTGACCCACGCTACCCTGAAAAGGAAGAAGCGTGTACAGAAAATGGATGGATGGATGGATGATTCTGGACCAGAAGCACACGAGCTGCTGAAAGCCAACAAATGCAGAGAAGTAGAGCGCAGACYTTCTGAGACGGGTCAGGCTGTAATTTGACCCTGTTTATGAATAGCGGAGATTCCAAAATAGAAGATTCATGAAAAATTCATGCTGCGTAYATAAAGAAGAGAAAAATAAAGTATCAATTAACTGCTGACATCTATACATTAAAGCTTGATAAATATTCCTGCATGCAGGCTGATAAAAGGCACRAGGTCAGGAGAAGTCTGCCCTGGACTGGCAGCGAGCTCGTGGGCAAGCTTGATAAAAACAATAATATATACAGTAAATCCACCCACTGATGGGATTTCTGAGTATTTGCTAGTTTTTCTGAGTATTGTTCTTATAAAGTTTTTTTTTTTTAACTTGAACCTGTTTTCATAATTAAGTGTGCTTAAAATACATTTATTCTGTTGGCTGAGATGTTGTGTTTCTGCAGAATTTTGACCCAACTTTCTCAGCATTAGCTTGATGAAAAAAACACGTTGATTTGGAGACAAAGGAAATGAACCTGCTGCACGACACCAGGTCACCAGGACATAATCCAGATGGTCTTTTTTTTCTACTCTACTCTTAATTTTCAACATTCTTGGAACTTATTAAAGTTACTCATGTGTTGAATTACACACGTGTTACCACAGAACTTAATATCACTCTGCTTTTGCTGTGTTCTGTACAGGGTGTTCCCTTTACCATCAGAGATTGCTGAGCACACACACACACACACACACACACACACACACACACACACACACACACACACACACAC